ACTCCAGATATGACATTTATGCAATAGTACTCCAGATATGACATTTATGCAATAGTACTCCAATATGACATTTATGCAATAGTACTCCAGATATGACATTTATGCAATAGTACTCCAGATATGACATTTATGCAATAGTACTCCAGATATGACATTTATGCATTATTAATTTCTTTGCTATGCAATGGTTGATACAATCGCCATATTGCCTTTATGCATTATTATTCATACTTTTCTGCAGAAAAAAAGTCTCCAAATACAAAATATTACAAATTTTAGAAAAATGTATATAATTTTGATAATAATCTACAAAATAATGAGCCTACCTGTAACAAACTCATGAGATTTATTCCCCTTTTCTTTACGAAATGTCAGCCTGGGTAATGTTTGCCAAGGACTCTCTTTAAAATCAGATAGATCCATTGGTTTAGTATCCTATAAAACAGTGAAGAACCCTAATTAACACAACACAGAAATCAGGCAGAATGATTCTTATAGATATTAGTACAATTATGATATTCTCAGGCAGACTTTGATAAGGACCCATCAATAAACAAGCTGCTTTCTGATTGGTACGACTGTTAGGTGTTAGGGTTGAGTAGCCAATCAGATATAATCTTGTAAGTAGCTTGGCACTGACTCCAAGTTAAGAATTTAAAAGTACTTACATGCCCATGGCATCTTTCATGCAGATGTAGAAGAAACTCCTCCAGTTTACGATAATAACGGTTACACTTGCTACACCAATGGTTTTTGGGATCTCTGTAGCGTAGTTCTTCACCTTTACCCTTTCCCAACTGCACATCTAGTATTCTCTGCAAACACAAGACAGTTAATTTTATTTACTAAGATGAAATATATTATTGTAACTCATAAACATCCTCAGCCATCAAAGAAATGTTTGTACCTGCATAGACATTACAAGTGATATTAAAATACCAGCTTTCATGTTCCAATTTTTCTGTCTTTTCTACTAATTTGTGAACAGATCTAACTGCACATTTTCTGCTCACCACGACATTTCTTTAAGCAGAGCTGTGTTCTATATAAATACATGTTATCGGAAAATAAGCATCAAAGACAAGTATATACTCCAGTTGGTACATGTTATGGGAAAATAAGCATCAAAGACAAGTATATACTCCAGTTGGTACATGGTCGGCAGAGCATATACGAGACGAGTGGTGAATCTTGACTTTCAACATGATATTCAGGATTTGTTGACGTGGTATGATCAATGTTTATATTCATTTATTTCATGAAGGTAATTTTATGATTCCTCGTGAAAAAAAGAAATTTCTAGATGCTATTTTTGCAAACTGCAGCGAGAGAGTTCTTGCAGGTTGAACTTTTGAAATCAAGAAATCTGTATACCAATCTTGGCATAGGTTTAAATTTGTATTATAAGTAATTTTTAAAAAATGATTGATAAATATACTCAATTATCTTGATACAAGTGCAATCAGAGTAATTAGTTACTTATCGGCTTTCATCACACTATGGGTAGACGGCATATTGAAATATTATACTTCTGCACTGTGGTCGTCAACAACCTGTGCACATAATCTTGAGTCTGAGATTCGTCCATACATTCTTGAATATTGATAGACTGATTTTGCTATCACTCAGCTATTGTTAGCAGTCGTATATGTAGAAAAGCAGAAAATGATGTAATGGTATACATGAACAGCCTTCTGGGAAATTGATAGCCAAACAAATGTCATACTCATTTTTGATTGTATTAATTTGAATAAAGTTAATCTCAGAATCATGTTTGTAAATTTCGATGTTATTCATGGGAGATATTTTTTCTACCAAAGTGACTGATGTCCCAGCCTCGAGAATGACAGTGAAATCATCACTGCATATTTGCACATCCACATCTGGTTCACAACACTGATGCGGTTACCGGTAGTGTTCATTGACTTCATTGACCTTGTCTCTTCCAGAAATATTTGTGTCGCTAATCATATTATAAACTACAAGTTTTAATATGTTCTTTCAACTATAAATGTTTAACATCCTCACAGTGGAATTTATAGGGCTTTTATGGCCATTTTTGATTCTCTGATCATGTAAATATTCCACATCTAATTGTAATGTAATTTACATTGCGCTTTAAACTGCTCCAAAATGATTCACCCCCACTTTCCTTACACCAAAAACCATCATTTCTTGTGAGCTCTTTAACTACACTCATAATGATCAATACAGACATTATGGGCTTAAATTTGTTGTCTCATTAGCATAGCCATGTCAATCTGATGTACATGTAAGCAAGTGTCAGCAATTCTGTCAGCAACTCTGTAATTCTGTAATTAGCATGAGGCATTGCATCTTTGGAAGTATCAATACCAGGAAACAGCATCATGAAGCGTTAAGAACTGTCTGTCAGCATGGTAGTTGTATCAGTCAATTGAATCTTTATCATAAATCTGTTTTGGAAGAGCGGTCCTTATCTTGGAAAGAAACTTGTGTTGAGAAAATGCATCCTCACTGCTACTATTTATTTACATGAAAAGATTAACAACACTGTCCAGTTGTCAATATTCCAGCCCAACAATATTGAACATAATGTTAGCCAATAAATCCATCACTGACTTTTGAAAAGATCATGGACCTTGGTTGACATAAG